ACGGACGTTTCCTGCAGCTCATCACGGAACGCATGTCGGACGTCTGCCTACGGCAGGTCAACTACGCGGACTTCTCGACACCGGATGCGAAGACGGGCGAGAACTCGTCGTACGTGATTCGCATGGACGGCCGGCCGGAGCGTACGAATGCCCACGAGGACACTGCTCGTCTGTTCTCGGAATTCGTGCAAGCGCTGCGCAGCTCTCGCGTCGCGTGTATGACCCTCACTGGTAAGTTATGTGTTAACGGGTTATTGCTGAGTAGCCTGACGACAATTCAGGGTCCATTTTGCGTGAGTTCCACACCGTAAGCGCCTTGAATTAATGTTTAAATCAAAAATCGCGCAACGAACGAACTTGACCCGGTTTTTCAGCACAGTGAATTTCTTAACAGTCTGCTGAAAGCCTTTCCTAAAGTACATTGGTTTTTTAGTGGCTAAGTATTCCTTGAAAGGAATCTCAATCCCGTTCCTGGCCATCTAATGCAACCAAACTAGGAGCACCAATGCAACCATGTACACTCGGGCCTAAGCCCGCCGGGCCGGGCCAGGCCTCAATTGTTCTGACCTAGCCGGGCCCCGGGCCGGGCCTACCATAGGCCCGGCCCGACCCGGTTAGGGGCTTGCAAAAATAAGAAATTTCATCAAAATTCTACCTATTTTTTTAAAAAAATAGCCAAAAGGTAGCCGTAGTACTTGCAGCTGGTGATTTTATGTGCAGAAAGTCGAGATTTGTACATTAAACTCTCCTTAAAGGGTAAAATTATACCTGTACAAAAATGCCAACGGGGGACCAAAGGCACTTTTCGGAAACTTGCGGGAACGGGCCCTCTACCGGGCATTTAGGCCCGGGCCGCGCCTGGTTTTGAAGGCCCGCGGGTCTGGCCGGGCCTAGGCTTACAGGCCCGTTGCACATGGTTGCACCAATGTCTGTTGTTGTTTTTTACTTGCAGGAACCAAAACTGGCCGCATATTTAGAGTTGGTCTTCACGCCGCAACTTGTGGCACTCGTCCTTCAGACGCCGATCGTCGCTGGCGCGCTCAGCTTCCTTCAAGGCAGCTGCGCCGGACTGACGCCGACGCAGTTCCAAGACACCATCCTACACTTCGCGCCGGCTTCGCTGAACATCACCGCCTGTCAGCTCCGCGCTTCTCACCTGACCGACGGGCTCCTCCGAGCGCTGAGCATGCGGAACGTAATGTTCTCGAGTGCGGTGCCAGTGGACGGCCGCAAATACAGCGTGACGGACGACGCAGTCGTCGACTTCTGTATGCAAGACGACGTCTCGACCAGCCAACAAAGAGATGCCCCGAAGCGTTTGCTGTACGGAGAACTGATCATGCGCCACGGCAGTTTCACGAAGGGCCTCTTCAAGCGTCTGGTCGAGGTGAGGGGACATATTTTAAATGGTCAAAGACCAATTTGGATACAATGGTGAGGCGAAAATTGCCCCATCATACCGAATACGCACGTATGAAGTGCTTTCAACAGCACCTACGGCACAACACGTCGTAGGCTGAGCTCTGCAACCGGTATGACCGGCATGTTCAGCATGAGCACTTTTGCTTCATCTTTCCATTTCAGGCAAGCACTGTGTCCGTGCGCACGCAGCCGATCCGCATCGACGTGTCCCCGTTGCGCTTCGGGTGGAAGGACCTTCCTGAATTTGAGCAGTACCTCTCGGACCGGGACCGACGTCACTCGTGGCAGTTGCGCATCTACAACTTTCCCGGTGAGAAGCACGGAGCGGTCGCTGCAATGCACACGCAAATCGTGCTCCACCCGGACAGGCTCCAAATGATCCGTGCTCGACGCCCGAGCTGTCTCTTTTACGAGTTGCATGAATAGATTCCCATGTTGATGCCTTGCCTGTTCAAATGTTGAAATAAAACGGCGCTTAACGAATCCATTCAGTTCAAATCATTGACTTCGTGAGCATAGTCACCTCACCAAGGGTCTTTTACATCGGACGATTGTAGTAGACTCCTGGGTTGCACGCCATTTGGGTCCCAGCTAAAATTTCAAAGGCGACGTTGGGGTCCCGCCGTTTGGGTACCGGACGTTTGGGTCCCAGAAAAAATGTAAATGACCAAGGTTTATCTGACCGAATCCTGCGTAGGTCAACATTACGACATAACCGGCGTAAAGGCAGCAACATCGACAAAAGGGACAATTAAATTAAATGACGCTATTTTGAACGAGATTGTGTCGGGCATGCAAAAAGACGCTGAAAGGGTCTTTTTGGAACTGATAAAAAGCGTTTATGAATCCGGTACCCAAACGCCCCTTTCGGAATTTAAGCCGGGGCCCATCCGAAGTGCAGTTCGATACCGGCTCATTTTATGTCTGCAGGAGAAGGACGCGCCCGTGGTGGTTGGCACAACTTTAGTCGTTGAAGAACGAATCCAACTTAGTGTCCACCTGTAGCTGAACCTGAATGGAAGTATCAGATAAAAACCGTTCGAATCTGTTAATACTCGGTGGAGCCACTTGGAGGATACGAATGCACTATCTCCCACACAAACTTGATTGAATTCATCATCCCCGATGTCCGTACTTAGCTTCCTACAAGCAATTCAAAGTGGTCAGCGATGGTAGATACGTTTATAAGAAAGAATACATAGCGAATGGGCTAGTTACGATCCTGGCGCTGGTTCATGCGATGAGTCACAGAACGCTACTAAGCGTCATTCGACATTAGAACTAAAACCCATTTCCAAGACGGCCTGAACGAGATTTGCTTCAAGTGATGGCTTTCTTTTGAATAAGTGTAAGACGGTCCTAAAGGAACGACTGGTCCGACGTCACTCCGAGGGCTTGTTGTTCACTCAGTTTCAGGCAGCGACAAAGAAAGCTCGTCAAAAGGAAATACACGACGACGAGCGGTACAATCGTTGACCGGTGGTTACTCGCATTCGGCGGAAAATAGCGTCGTGATCATAGATAGCATTTTGTTTACGTTAGGTGCAGGGTAACGGATGGTAGAACGAAGTCACTAGCCATCGTGTCAGCCCGTGCACGGGACGGCCCGTCCCGTGCCGGGGCCATGCTGCCACGGAACGGAGCCCGGCACGGGGGTCCAGGATGGGACGGAGGACGGCAAGGGGGGGGGGGGGTATCGACAAACTCTAGGGGATAATAAGAGGGGAACCCGGTCTCGGTCCCAGCCCTGGCATGGAATGGTCCCGGTTGCTCCTATACTCTCTACTTTTTCTGAGTCACTCACATGATCAACTTGACCTGTTGCGTGTTGAATATTCCGGTACCAAGTTGCTTAGCATAACCAAGCAAAAATTTGGCACTTATGCTTAGTTTTTGCGGTCGCTTTCAATCAACTATTCCGATGTAGTTGCGGACTGGAGGACGACTGCAGCATGACCGGTTTGTGCACTAGATCACCACACCCAACCTACATTGCTGCAGTAGAGCCTGGTAAGAAAGGTGTCTTCGCGTAGAATGACAAGAGGTTAAGGGTCGAGCTCCTTCATCGTAGGCAGTCGAATAATTTGACAGCAGCAGGCCAAATTCAAGGATGATGAGATAAAACGGACGGAGCAGCGAGATTTCCCGACCTCCATCCTCAAATTTGCGACGCAAGGAGCGTCTTGCGCTAATCATTTCCGAAAATCTAACTGATGCGATAACGCACCGTTCCATTTGCCGCGCTACCTTCGCTCGATTTACGCATCATCGTTTTCACATGGAAAATTTTCGCTAAATTTTCGTGTATCTCAGTTCTTCGCTCTAAAAAGCGTCTAGCTTTATGAAGAGGCCGTAGCATAGATGCAAAACCCTTGTTTATTTTCCTACCATTGTATACGTCTTGCTAATATAACGAAATGTCAGTCGTTGCAGGAAGACCTGGCAAAGAAACAATTTATAAAGGAGCAAAAAGTTGTTGCTGAGCTTTGTCTGTGCTCTCGGTGTGCGTTTCGTAATGCGGCAAAGAAGATGCTGCTCATTTCCTTTTGCGAGCTCAGAAGCTATCTACGTGGCTTGTGCATCGATGTTCTTCACCAGTCATAAGCCAACAACAGCCTGCCACTCAACCGGCCAGCCAGGCGCCCTCTGTCCCGTGCATCGCCTTCCAAAGCGTTATTGCAGTCAGAGCTCCTTTCAAAATACGTTTTCATCTTATCTACTAGCAGCTGGGCTTCGCTTCGCGCAGCCGGCGCCGCTATAGGGGATTACCTGTGCCAAGCAGACAACCTATGAATAAGCAAAGATCGTCGCTACTTTCTGATCTCTTTGTCTTCGGATTTCGAAAATCTATTGAAATTTCGTCTTCTTTCCGCGTTTACCGGCTGGAAATCGAACTTTTGGCCCGATTTAGCGACCACTCCTCTGTTGTTTTGGCAGAGTTTTATGTGAATTTTGGTCCTATAAACATGTCAAAGTTACGATTTTCAGGCTTTCCATCGCTCAATGTCATCCCTACCAAGCGAGGTTCTCGAGGACGTCTTGCTACCGTTGCACCGATGGACACTCGATGACGTCCAATTCACCGACCGACGCTTTCTTCGGCTGATTTTGGAGCGAATGTCGGACGTCTGCCTCCGGCAGATCGAGTCTGCGCACTTCGATGCACCCAATGCGAACGCGGCCGGATCGTACGTGATTCGAATCAGTAGTCAGACGGAGCGACAGATTTCGAATTCCCGCAACGACGCGGCTCTCCTCTTCTAGGAATTTCTTCGAATTTCTTCTTCGCAGCTGCGGCCCAGTGGGGCCCGTTGCTAGGTCATCGTCATCAAGCAGCAGCAAAAAAATACCGTATTTTTTCGAATACAGCCTGTCCCCCCTTGAATAGAGACCCCCCCCCCCCTGGAATAGAGCCCCCCGGAGAGACGTTATAGAAATTAGAGCCCCAGCCTTGAATAGAGCCCCACCGCCGAACCAAATTGGGTGCAAGGCAGCAACAGTAGTAGCCCCCCCAGGATTTCCTCTACTTTTTCCCCCCTTTACCGGGTGAGCTGGCCTAGCTGGCTGGCCCACGTGTATGCATCCTGTGGTCTAGTGGTATGTCGCCGGCGGCCTGTGCTGAGGGTCGCTGGTTCGATGCCGACCAGTGCAAATTTTTTTTTTATTGGCGATATATAAAAGACATAATCTTTAATCCTTTTACATTTTCCTTTACTATGTCCCTAACGATAGTCCACCTTATGAAGGACTCATTTCATAATAACAAAATTTTATTTCTTTTAACAACTGGGCAAGGAACAATGCAAATTACTTGGACTTCTTGCCGAAGAAGCGGTAGTAGACGTCGGACATGTAGACATTGCCCTCAGCGCACTCCTCGCAGAGCTCCTGGAGCATGTAGACCTTGCCATTCTTGCGGAAGATCTTGATCTTCTTGTAAAGGCACTTGCCGCAGCGGTAGGTGGTCTGACCGAAGCGGGAACGGGTCATCTTCCACATGGTGTCCTCGAGGTCGGGCTTCTTGCGCTTGTGCTGATGCTTGCCGGTGGTGGAAGGGGTCGAGTCTTCGGAATTCTTTCGCTTCCGGGTGGTCGCCCTCTCGTCGGCCTTGCTCTTGGTGGAATTGGTCTTTTTCTCATCTAAAATCCAGGGACCGTCTAATAATTCTTTTTCGGGACCGGCCAAATAAATAAATTTACCATCATCGATCATGAGCGCGTCCATGTCGGAGTCGTAGTCAAGGATGTCATCGAAAGCCATTGTAGCGGGAGAACTGGTAGCAGGAGACTGTTCGGTAGCGGTGTAAATGGTTGTTATGACGCGAAATGCGAAAGTGTCCGGATAGACCCCCAAAAAGGGGCGGAGCCAGGCACGCGTGGCACAAAGTGGGCGGAGCCTACCGGTGGATGGGTAGACACTTGCTCTTCTGCCACGTCGGGTCAGTATGAACAACTACACTTGTCCGAACATGTCGCCTTCTCTTATCGATGTCCTCGTCTCGCACTTTCAATGCGAACCCGCCGACCTCCACAGGTAAAAATTCTCCTCAAAAGGAATGGAAATTCTTTCCGTATTTCAGACATTGGGATCGTGATGAAGTCGATGATCTTCTTGCTGGAGAGAACCTGGTTACGCTCCATCTCAAAGAACACAACCGCACCTTTGTCTACGGAGGTCTTTCGCGTCGATGTGCGCGCCACCAAATGGCATACCATGGCAAACTAGGCATTAGCGTGGAACAGCACCACTTCTCACGCTACAAGCGAGAGCTCGACTTCCACTACTTGCCATGCGTAGTGGAGTTCGGTGGCCGTGGCCATCGCAACTTTTACCCCCTTGAAGTGGTCACTCTTGAATGTCTCGCTGACTAACTGTACTTTCGTGCCAAGTCCCGAGTAAACATTTGTACTGTTGAATCCGCATCGACCATTTTGCATAGCAGGCGTAGGACTTCATCAAATTTATAGCCTTTCGATAGTTGATAGACCACAAAGATGGCAAAGCACCCACATGCAATAGAGGTGCGAGGCTGGAAAACACACCGGTTTCTACGCACTTTTGGAAACAGTGACAGGTAATTCAGTAGATTCCCCTTGGGCTCAGGGCCAAAAGGGCAGAAAAAGTACGCCTGTGTGGGCGACTCAGCGGCAACTACGACCCAGTGCGAGCCGTCCAGATAGTGCGGATCAAGGTTGACCACCATAGCTGATGGGAAACTGGAGGGATAGGGGATACGGTCGGAGGGAAAGCAACCCCTATAGTGAGCGCTGCTCGCTCTCCGTAGAATCGCGTCGATACTGAGCGAATCCATTCTTTATTTTCAACGAGTAGTAGAATATTGCGGCAGAGCACAATAGCCACACAACCATGTAGACCAGGCAGATTATTGCATACTGCCAGTCATTGTGCCGAATGGCACCGCAAAATTCGATCGGCGTCACGGACAGCCAATCCGTAAAGCTATTATTTTGAGACATTTTATTTGGGACACGACCGCTCACTAGATTGTCAAATCTGAACTGACGGTGCGTGTGTGATCAATGAGGAGCATGCTCTCGCTCTCCCCATACACAATCATTTGGACGCCACCAGCAGGTGTCTCTGTATGAAACTTAACGTGAATATGACAGGTGCCCGTACGGATCATATCATAGCCGTCGTCATTATCCAGAGTGGTAGAGAGATTGAACACGAACAGAGTCCATCCCTTTTTGAACATATTCATCGTGATCCCATTGCAGTCGGGAGGGCGGAGGCCGACCGCTTCGTGCATGTCATGAAATGGCCTGGCAAATTTGCTGGAGGTCGCCCATTTGAGATCATACGGCACATGTGGATACACCGTGCCATGCGCATTAATTGAAATATCGCGGATGTTAAAGTTCTGGAAGTTGAAGGGATTCTTCTTCCATGCGCCTTCAAAAGCCGCGGGCTCCACGAAGCCGACAATGATGCGCCGTGGGATGACCTCCGTGAAAAGCATGGAATGGAAGTCACGACGCCCACTGCCGACGGTCTCCGTCTTGAGCTCCGAGCGGCGAATGGGATAGCGAGCCGGTTGAGTCGTCAGCCGACTGGCAATACTCAAATTGAGCCCTTCTGTAAGGTTGAGCATTTTGGCGTATAGTCGACATGAGAGTAACTCCAGCTTGTAAGTGCCGTCGTCGGTGGCCATGATCGTGTATTGCGCCTCGTCATTAGGCGTAATCTCGAGGTCAATGTCCACACCACTGATTATTAGGCGATCCTGACCGAACACATCTGCATGGATACGGGAGATCATTTCAACGGTCATGCTCTCCTTGAAGAGCTCTTGGCGGCTTACGAACCCGGTGTCCGTCACCGCTTCAGGATTCTCACAAGGGAACCAGCCCCCAGCAGAGAGGTAGGACCTTTTGTACTCATTGGAATAGGACAGCTCGCTGTCCAAATACGCCTTGTAGGCATAGAGGCCATTTGAGTGGAAGACCTCCCTCCCATTAATGGAGACCTTCATGTTCTTGATAAACGTTGCGCCGATGTATTGGATAGGTGCAACGGTGGCGCCTGCAGGGAGATTCTCCCATGTGCCGTCATCGGCCTTCTTGCGAACGCGCATTTGCGTCACGAGGTGACACTTGCTCAAGTCCAGGAAGCTGGAACCGGGTGAAATGCGGAAATGGAATGGATGTACGGAGATCTAAATGTTACTGATTAGCGCGGCATGACCGAGGCATAGACTTACCGGGTTAAGCGTGAGAATCTCCTTGAAAGCGGCCGATGTAGCGGTGACGTTCGTCGGCGGTGTGTCGAAGATGGCGAGAGAACTCGACACGGAGTTCTGCGATGTAGAGTCAATCTTTTTGAACATTAGTATAGTCCAAGTGCGTCACGACGCAATTTTTTATTCGGAACGGAGACGGAACACAACCTTCCTCTAAGACTGCTTGGTGTTAAAGTGACGCGTTTTCGGCGCCGGCCACTACCAGACTGCACTCGGCGGGCCAGGTTGCGTGCGCTAGTGCGCCCCTGCTCCACCATTGCGTCCGCGAGCCTATGGCCGTCTGCCACGTTTTCGAGGATGCGCGCTCCGGCGTGAAGGCCCTCCTTCCCAATCTCTTTTGCAATGGGCTTTACCAGCGGTACGAGAAAGCGCCAGAAACGCAGCAGCGTACCGCCAACGCCAATGTACCGCGTTGAAAGGGCACTCCTGTAAAGTACGCCCCTCCACCATACTGAATAATGTCATCAATGGACACTTCGGAAGTGTCTAGTGTCACGTGGACCATGATGCGACCGCTCACTGTGAATGCAATTTACTTAAATGAGCGAGACTTTGCGAAAGAGCAGCGTGCAGATCACATTGCCGGTTGAGAACAGGACTGGGTGATTGTCCAGTGTGCGTATGTCGATGAGGATCTTACTCACGTCACGCGCGGACACATTACAATAGAGCGGAGAGTCGAAAATGCGCTCCACGTTGTCGCCGTGCTTGCCCGTAACCGAAACTATACGTAGCAACTGCGACATGCAATCGCCCACTACCACAGGCTGAATAATGTTAGTGTATATTGCAAGGTGGGAGATACCCCCTTGTATGTCCGGAGGGTGCTCTGCGACATCTCCATCGCGTACTTTTTGTGCCCGGCTATAGCCTAGCACATAATACATCTGGTTGGACATGGCAATGTACTTGATCTCCGGTGTGTTAAAGCGCATCGCGTAGCGCATAGCATCTGGGTCGTAGTCAACTTGGACTTTTAGTGCCGAGAGTGCGTCATTAAGTGCCCGGGCAAAGGCCTCGGGCGTAGCGTAAGTGCCTCTGGGCACTTGCACTCTTTCTGTCGTGCCATCTTGCATGGCGACGTCCACGTGCACTTCATGGCCCGTACCGATGGCCGGCCATGAGTGCTGGTACGAAATGGAGTGCAGGGCGCATTGCCAAGTCCCGTTAAACTCCAGCTTTTTGGGCAACTGGATGGCATAGCGATTGGTTGTATTGCCCTGACCGGGCGTATTCGAAGGTAAAATCACGACAAATTGCTTGGACGACATGCTCTCGTGAATGCAGATTGGTTAAATGAGCTGCTGCTCGGTGATCCACTGCTTATCTTGCGGGTTCTCGTCTACCCAAGACACGTAGTACTCGGTAACGCCACGCCGCTTGCGGGTCTCCCACACGTTGGCAATGCGCTTTACCGCTAGTTGCGCCTTGGAGAAATTCGGTGCGTAGAATTTACCGAGGATATCCTCGCCCTTCTGGTCTTTGAGTGCATACGTGGTTGGATTTCCGGGTCGCACGCGGTTAATTTTAAAGACCTCCTGCGAAAAGTTGGGCAGGTAGCCTTTGGCAAAGGGTCCCTTTGCGACGTCGATGCGCACCGTCGTGCCGGGAACATAGCGCACATCTTCCTTTTCAGGCTCGTTGCTCTTTGCGTACAATCGCTGCCAAACTGGATGCCAATTGTGCTCTGTCATGTCAACGGGCCGCATACCCGTTACACGACACTTTGTCTGGTTGAGGGCGTCTACAATGCTAGGCAAGACATCCACCCACTTCTTTGTCTGATTATGACTGAGGTAGCGATATATGCGTCTCTTCAACGTCTGGATGGCCCGCTCAGCGACACATGCCTTTGTATCGTCACTCTGGCTGACATGTTTGCGTATGTC